AACTTGGCGTTTCCGTCCCTCTATTAATCGTCTGTCCACCCTTGCCCACGGTTCAAATTGTTTCGCCTTATTCTTCATTAAGGGGCATTTTTTATCGAGGAGGGCCACGAGGCGAACCGAGCGCGCTCTCGAAGAACATTACGCTACCCAAGGGATTCATTTCTCTCCCGGTTCCATTCCACTCACTCACGATCAATTCCAGACTTTGCTTCTTACCCTCCTGTAACTTCGAATTGGCCGGATTCGTGCTCGTTATAACCGATGTCGTGAGTGCACTTACAACCGCCGCCGCTTACAATCGTTTCACTCATCCAGTTGATGATGATTTTGCTTCCGGACCTCTTACAACTTCGAGCCATCCCGCAGGAATTCTCGGCCCCGCCACTTATTACGCTTAGTGGATCCCTATCAATCTAACTTCAAAATGGAATCTCGGGGATTGCCAGCGCGCCTATGTACCGACCATTAGGGCCACGTGCCTCGTTGACAAAAATAAAATTGCTCGACGAATTGGGCTCGAACCGCGCGCAATCCGTTCGCGCAGAAGAAATATTCAATCGATGAATTGGAAATATAGAGATATTCGGGTTCTTTTTTCTACCACTCGAGTCCACGTGTACGGTTCGTGCTTACTTATTTTTATTTATGTATGTCTACAATGTGAATTCTCTTGAGAATGATAGACTAGAAAGAATGGAGTAACCGAACCTCCGTTAAGATCTATCTTGTCCTTGCAAAGGAACTTCTCCTCCGAAGACTTGGAAGAAAATGTAGGTCGAGGAATTTTTGCAAATTTTATACGCTTTATTAGGAGGTACTAACTAGTTATCCCTCTTAATGAATCATTCGAGAGTTTATATCTAATTCAGACCTGACATTTTGGACAGACACGATAAAATAAATCATTGATTCTCCTCGTGTCTAGCTCGTTACTCGAGTTTCGTTTGCCCTCTATCTCTGCGGTCGTCGTTTAGATTGTCGAAATTACAGCGCCGTTATCCGCGTAGCTTCGTCGCAGCGGACCGAACATCGCGTAAAACTATAAGTCGCTGGATACACGATAACGATAAAGTGGGCTGGGTGATTAAGTTAACAGTGACGTCGCCTACGTTTTACTGCCATTCGTGACGACGAATCCGCGACTAATCTCCCTTCTTCCGCGTCTGGTGAGCGGAAACGTGGAAATCAGGGTACGAGCCTCGCCATCTAGAGCAGTGATTTCATCGTAGACTCAAGGAGATTTTTAGATCTCTCGGTGTCGAGGAAGGTACCATGTATTTTTGAGGATATATTCTTCTTTGCTAGTCCTGAACCTATTAATTTCTCTAAAAAATGAGATCTGCAAACATCTGTACTAGTGTTTCTTTAACAATTACTCCTATCTTGATGATCAATTTTCCTTCGTAGACGGAATACCAATGTCCTTCTGTCATTCCATAAAACTTTGTTCGAGAGAACATTTCAAAACGGGAACAAAAAAGCAAGCGAAGAAGAGGCAAGAGGAGGTGAGCGAACTAACCAGGAAGAGGATACAAGAAAACCAACCAAGAATACTGCGTGGGGAGAAAAAAAGATGGATGGCTCGTGGATGGGCCACTTTATTGCACCGTCGGATATACACAGTATAGCTTATGGCTGCAGGCTGCAGGGAGGAGGATTGGTTCGAGAGGAGAGGTTTCCCTGGGAAAAGGAGTGATCTATCGCGTGGAACACGGATCCAGAGAGACGCCAACGGAATGAATTTTTCGTCGCTCGAAGTTTACACTGAGGGCCAAATATTTTGACCGCTCAAGGCCGTCCAGGAGTAAATCTCGCTATATAAGTTAGCTGCTCCTGTACTCTGCTTCTCGGTCTCTTCATTTCCTGTCCGTCTCACACCGTTTACTGTTTTCGAGCAGTGGTGTGCAATCTTTTCTGCCGATGGGTTGAAATAAAAATAAAATAATACGCGATTGCGCTAGATCTCGATGAATGATCATGAAATTTATTTATTTATGATCGTACATCAAGTGTACGTAAACACTCGAGGAATCATGATCGGTATTAACTATCGAGTACGTACGATGCCCAAATAAAATAAGTGGGCAACCTATCACGTGATCGCCTTGCGAGTGTCCCGTTCAAAAGGGTACTTACTCTAAGCGTACTTTGGGTCCCGGAACAGGCTTAAGCTCGAGTTTTGCTCGATGGATTCAAACTACGGCACGAACTTTCCCACCGATTCTAGAACGATTATAATTTTATAATCTAACAGCTTCGTAAAATTACGTTGGGATGGGGCAACGCGTTAAACTTTGAGCTTGAAGTCGTTTTAGGCTTTGGGTTTCCATCGGTTGTGCCAAAATCCGTTTCCACGGAGCCTCGTCGAAAAGAATCTTTAATTCTTTCTTCCGAGTGTCGCAAGAATTTACCTAGTCGTCCCTGTTTCCAATGTGCATATCCGAACAAAAGCAAACTGGTGAACATAGTTCACTTGGACTTACGGTTAATCGTTCCGAGCGATGCCGATGCTGGAAAAGAAAATTGAGACGCGTGCGTTCGAGTCGAACATTTCTAGGAGGCGTGCTGCTGCGAGGGAAGGTAACGGGATCGAGAAAGAGAGAGTGAGCAACTACTGGATCAAACCGAATCCAATAACTCCCGCGGGATTACAACCCCGACCCTTGGGAACCGACCGTTCCCCGAAGATGTGGAAGCTGCGGCGAGGAGGAAACCAAGAGGAAAGAAATAGAAGAGAAGAAGGTGGGGAAGGTGTTAGGATAAGGGAAGGCGGTTCGAGATGGCGGGACCGACCAAACATTATATCGCAGCCTGGATTCGTGTCAGGTACACCGGCGTATACATTCGAGAGAAGAAGCAACCGGGGTTGTCGGTTGTTTTCTCGGTGAATTTCCGAAAATTTATTCCACGATCGGCCTAGAAGAGTAGAATCCCTGAGAAGCACACCGAAATATCATAAACGGTGATGTCCTACAGGGTACATGTTGTTACACGGAGATTGGCTTTCAGTCGAAGCAGCGTTCCTGATTTATTTTGGTCGCTGGCCACGAGTTACAGAGCCTAACTTTCAATTTATAAATAGAAATAAAGTTTAATATCAGACAATTCTATTATCCTAACGATTATATCTTCCTACTGATACCGATCAAACATTCTTCTACGGTACTGCTCTGTTTACAAAGTATTTCCAACTCCAAGTCTTCTACCCTTATTAAATATTGATTTCGTAAAGCGTCACGACGACTCTGTAAAACGGCACACACACACCCACACGCTGACCGCAAAAGATAAACAACGACACGGCGTCGTCCTTCAAAGCAGGAACCCTAGAGCAACAAAGTGCTTTTGACACGAAAATCGCATGGTCGAGGCCGCGACGGTTTCGTCTAAAAAAAAGAACGACTATTGCAGCGGTCGCGGCACGCCTCGAACCCGGCAACAAATTTAAAAAACAAAACAGAGCAAAAAACAAACGGAGAAAGAGGTGATCGGCAAACAGAGCCACGAAACCAAACCGCACGAGCCATCGTGGAAACGATGAAACAAAATATTTGTGCGGTTTCGACGATTTCCGTGACGCGCTTCACCGGCTCCCTACAAATTCAATTTCTCCAGGAAGATTCGTTTACCAACCGTTGCATAACATCGACACAGCCAGCGTACACAGAGTGACATAGCCAGGACATGTTCCTGCGCGCGCGCGCGCGCGCGCTGTTATCGGCCGAAGGAAGTAAACGTAGCCGTTCCAGCCAACGATAGGTATATGACTTCTAACTCGTTCGTGGGATTTTGACAAATCGCCGAGGCCACCGCTGCCCTCTTTCTTTTTTCCGTTTTTCCATCGTTTGAACTCTAGCGACGGGACCGAACAACGATCGATACGCTTCGTATAGATCAGAAGAGAGTGACGTTAAATTGAACCAAACTCCATATTGGGAATACAGGATATTTTTTTTATTTTCTTTGTTCGAAGCTCTACCTTAAATTGTTAAGCCACGAGTTTCTAGCTCGAATAGGAAAGCCGTGTGTCCACGGGTGAGAAACAACTTTGACTCTTTGTTGTTTTTACAAATAAAGAATCGTGTTGCGTTCGAGTCGATAGAAAATTGCGGGGAATGTGTCGGTTAATTCCATGGCTGCAGGGCTCCGATTCCCAATAAAACAGAGAAAGATTCCGTGCTCGAATCGATCGAAAATTGGAGAAGGATCGGCCAATTCCCTTTTCTCCTTTTTTCGACGTTGCTCCTTTTCCAGCCGGGTTTGCCGAGCAACAATGTTGGCGCACTAAATCCTCGTGCCGCGCCACGAGAAACTTTTCCACGAAGTTCGAGTTCTCCGGAGTTTATCGGTGGCGGAGCCAGTTTCCACCAGGCATATTTTTTCCCTCTCAGTCGGTGTTTTTCTTTCCTCGGACTCTGTCCCTCCATCGTAAACCCGATAAAATTCGAGGGTCACGCAAATCGACCGCACCTGGGGAGTCCACCACTCGGCGGGTCTCCAATTGAGTCCAATTCACGCGAACAAATTTTTTAAGTAAACATTCGTACACTTTTAAAAGCATTATCCAAAGCTGCGCAAATTTCGATAATATTCCATTTAAACAGTGAAGGGATGTGGCCTCCTTCTGCAATATTTCATAGGGCAGAACGCTTCGATGGCAACGTAGAACGGTCTGTTGATAAATCAACAGTGGCAACTGACAAGTAAGCATTCTACATTGTTGAATCTTAGCGACAGATTGCCCTGCATCACCACCAACAGACCCTTCTATCCTTCGAGGGGTGCAAATTGAAAAGAATAAAATTTCTTGGCGACCAAATCACATAAATCTCCATGCCAGAGGCAACAGAATTTTCTCTTCTATTGAAACGAGGTCGTAGACCACATCGCTGTGCATCTCGCTCAAAAAGGATGTATGTACCCGTGTATAAGGGAATTGATCGCGATACACGGTCAAGTAAATCACTGAAAGAGAAGAACAAAGAGGCGATTGTACTCACTGACTAAGGTGAGGAAGGGTATGTTGTGCTGCTGAAAGTGGGGCGTGCTGCAAGCTTCTTCCGGCCTCGAAACGGCGCTTCCGGTCTGCACCTCCACCACGTGGCCGTCCCTTCGGTAGAACGTCATGCACATAAAACCGCTCCGACTGAAAACAGAAGGCCACTGGTATAAAAAGGCGCGCGTTTCGCGTGCACTCTACTTCCCCGGGCCGACAAAACGTTTCGTCGCCGCAAACAACAGCGCTATTTACGCCAACAATGTATGTACACCGTTGTCGCGCGCGTCCGGTTTGCACCGCTTCTCAAAACACTGTATTATCGACGCTCTTTTCTCCTTTTTGTCGCGTCGACCGCGGGAAAAAAATTGCGACGACGAAAATGCACCCGCTGTAACGAAACGACCGTGTACCAAGTTAATGCTCGTGAAGCGCCGTTTACCCGGGATTCTCCTCTCCCGAAATATACTACTTTGCTCGCGTGCCGTTACTTTTTCTGCTTCTTTATTGTTTTCCTTCCAACGAGCACCGATGACACGCGAAATAAAAGTTTACCCCCTTAAATTGTGATTTCAGGTAACGCGGTACGTATTTTCGTGTTCTTGTGAGAAACTCTTGGACATTTGGAGAACTTTTCACGGATTTAAAATGGATAGAAGGAAGAAGAGGCTCAGGGTGTTAAATGCAATGTCGTAGCATAAATGCCTAGGACGATTGGCAGATTACACATCTTCCAGTCGCGAACTCTACACCTCAGGAGCGCTCAAGAAGGATTCGAAGCCGCAACAGGGGCGACCGGGGTTCGAAACACCGAGAGGAAAGCAGCGATTCAAGAGGAAACGTGAAATGAAAATCGTGTACTCACCATCCGACGGTGTAATGCGCCACCAGCATGGTCATCGTCATCGTTTGCGCGGAGTTCGATTGGTTCACGCTGTTGCACAGGATTTTCACGTCCTGATCCTCTTGGCCAGGGACGTATTGGCCGTCCAGCGGGCCACCGTTGTCGAATCTCGAGGAACTGGTGTTGGATCTGGTCACGTGCAGGGAAGCGTTCCGCGGATGGAACGTGTAAGACCTGGTCAGGTCGAGGGTGTGCCAGGTCAGTCCGCCGCCGCTGGAATGGCCGGTCAACCAATTGGGAAATCGACACTGGCCGGGTGGCGAGACTGAAAGCGCACAGGAACCAATTTATTTAACGCTGATTGAACTGCCTCGAGTCCCTCCCCCAACTGGATCCTCGAACCTCTCAGGGCCTCGTTAAGCGTGAGCGTTCCTCTGCTTTTAAAATGTATTTAGAGTATGGACTTTGTAATTCCTGATTGCCAACTTGCCCCCTGGTTTTTATTCGTATCGCACGGTTCGTTTCACCGTCGCGACGGAATATTCGAGGACTGCGCCAAAGGGACGCGTCGTCGTCGTTCTGGAACAATGGAAGGGGAAGATGGGCTTCGGATAGGTGGGTTAATTGTGTTTGACTGTCTTCGATCGCAGCGTTTGATTCGTGCGTTGAATAACCAGTAAGGTCAAGTCTGCTGGTTGAATTTGATTTCAGGATATTTAAACTCGAACGAATGTTGGCCCTCTACATTCTGTTAGAAGGGAGGGAGGTCGAGAATTAACTATCATATGTTTGAGTTATCATATTCTAGTATCCGCGTCTTACATAACCAAGAAGGTGGAGTCAAACGAACTACGATATGTTTGGACCGAAAGGATTCAGTTTGCGGTTGAAAAATTTGTTGTCAGGTAGCTCCATTGTAAAATGTGACTGCTACATCGATCGATGGACGAGGAAGAGATCAACGAAAGGGGATAAAAGAGACGAGCCGGACGTGCCAGCCTCCAAAAATTTTCGCAGTCACCTCGAACGTCCTGGCCCGTAAAGTCCTCGACGTTCCGGAACGACAGCCGATAAAACGTCGACGTAGGTATTCGATGGCGAAACAGAATCGTTCGAGTACCTCGTTGGTCCAGTCCGCCGGAACCGTCGTTTCTCTCCCTCGATTCAGAGCTTTTCGCGCGCGTTTCACTTCAGGCTCGGGGATATAAAATCCGGGCGTGAGAAGGAGCCACTTCGATAGTGTCGAGCAGTCAGGAAAGGGTTGACGGGGGAAAATGGATAACAAAGGGGGATGTGGATTCATTGGCAAAAGGAACGAGAGGAATGACCTGCAGACTGACGGACGGATAGGCCAGAAAAGCGCAAGAAGTGGTGGAAGGGAAACGAAGGCTGGGACTGGGATGGGAAGAGACAATGCCAAGAGCGTGCCTAGAATACGATCTCGATAATATCAGGAATATATTTACGATTGATCGTGGTTGTTCAGGTAGTTTCCTAATTAAATAATACTTTGCTGGTAAGAACAATTTACAACGTCTACGTTGCCAGCACTTTTGCATCCCCTATCCCCGTCCTCCATCACACGTTTTAATTTAAAAAAAAATTGATTTCCGTCCCTGTTGCTCTCCAGAGACTGTACTCGCGCTTGGACAATGGAAAAAGGTGAGAACAGCGACCGAGATAGGAGAGGGAGAAAAAGAGCGGAGAAAAAGGGGATAGCAGGATTGCAACAATGGGAGGGTAAAAGATACGATATAAAAAAAAGGAGCACAGGAGAAAAGATGAGAACGTACAGAGATGGGTGCCTAAAGAAAAAACCAAAGAAATACTAGGATAGAAAAAAGGGTGCGGGAGGGGGATAGCGCAGAAACGGAGGGCTGACGAGGTGCACGTTTGGCCAGTTTTATGGCACGTAAAAGCATTGTTGCAGCGACCTGGGAAAGAATGGAAATAATTCAGCGGCTCCATCGATAAGTCCATGGACGCGGACGAGCGAGATACAAATTCTGCGATCGTAAAAATCGTATGGCATTCCCCTTGTTTCACTTGCTGTCGTCCTTCATCCTTTTGTGGTAGCCACCCCTCCCCCCCCCATTGCTTTTTCTCTCTTCGATTTCGCGCGTACCTTTCTCCCACCATCCCCCGCGTCGCCTCGTCCGTTATATTTCCCATTCCCCGCTGCGTATTGTCAATCTGCATTTTAACGATACAGATAAAATCTGACGGAAGGCTGAATTTGTAACTCCCTCCCACCGAGAGGGTCTGCGAACGACGCGGCGCGATGCCTCGAAAAAGAGACCAATCTGTGTCGAGATTGATTTCTAATATTTATGCTCCGCGTCTGTTCCAAAAAATTCTGAGAACACTCGTACGAAATGGATCTTTCGCTCGTTTCAAATCGCAATGTCCACGCACAGACGGTTATTTATGAAAACAACAATTTCTCAGTTCCGAAGATGTACAGAAGTCCGAAAACTCTTCCTTTTAGGGAATGTTTGCGTGCATCTGCCCGTAATTAATTCCCAAAGAAGACCTTATTTTGGCGCAATTCGGCGAAAAAAAGCTCGAAGCGACGTCGCGATCTCGAAGATCCACCGAAGTAGAATTCGTTAACGAAGTTTGCCGTGGCACTGCACGCGGTAAGATACGGGCTGGCAAACTCCGGAAGAAGAGGGTGACGGTGGGGAGAGAGAAAAAAAAAAGGAGGAAACAGGAGCGCGATGCACCGGAAGGAGAAGAAAGGAAACTGTACACAGACTAGTGGAGTAGCGTGTAAATATTCCTCCTTGGCGCTCGGGACCGCCATTTTGACGCGTCCCGTTAATGACACTGCGAAAGAACGGGAGTGAATTTTTCACGCTGTGATTTCGCAGACGATAGACGTGCCCTCTCGTTTCTCTCGTTTCCTTCCTAGACCCTCTCGAGCATTCCGTAACCCCTTGACCTTATTCTTCCTCGTCTACTACTCGCTCGCCCTAATCGTGCAATTTTGAACGCCACTGCACGCGTAAATGAACGTGGACATGCGCTAACGACGGACGCGAAGCGTCCCTCCAGGTCAGGGATTATTATGACAGAGATAAATTTAGAGAGGCAGCTAGTTAGATCTGGTAGGGGATAAACCAGAGACTCGTGAAACTAAATAATAACATATGAACGTCAGGGTAGCGGTAATGCTATGTTGTCTCTGGGATAGGGGACAGAATGTAGAGATACAAGCAGCGATTGGTAGAGGCAGAATACTCGGTTGACACGTATTTGCATTTCGTAGGTAACCTCGTCGATGGAATCATCTACGATATCGATTCTTACCTACGAAGTACTCTGACTAAAATTTTGATCTATGCTTCCGAACGGCAGGTAAATTAAGAGGTCAACGAATACGAGGAGGCACGAGGCTAAGCTTCGTTGGTTTCACGGTAGCGCCGCCCCTGCCACTCGACGTCGAGAGCCCGTCAGAGGTTGAAGGATCGCGTTCGGTACACAGAAATGAACGATTAAAGAGAAGAACTCTTACCTTTCATGAGAGTCATGGTCCGAGATCCCTCCATAGGGCTGAACAGGCCGTTGCACGTGGCGTCTCCGCTCTGCGCCACCCGGTATATCTCGGCCGCACCCTCGGGCACAGGTCCGCTCTGTAAACCGACATCATGATCCACGGCTCCCATGCCCATGGCAGCTCTGTGCAGATTACCCTGCACTGTTTGGCCAGCCTTCTCGTAGACGAAGCATCGGTATCGATCTTCGTTACTCGACGCGTGTCCATGATGTAAACGGCCGACCAGGTAGCGGCTACTGCCCTCCTTCCAGGTGGCCAGGCACTCCAACTCTTCGACTGAAACGACAAGACGACCAATTGCATCGCGACACTGACAACGTACATCCGCGAAGCACCTTCATCTCGAGGATACTTTGCAGGGTTTGCACAAAATTGTTACGTTTTTTTTTTTTTTTTAGCGACGATAACAGAAATTTAAGGGGTCGAAAATAGTTTAAAAGATGCAAGCAAGTTTTCCAACGAATTGATGAAATCGACGTATGCCAAAGCACAGGATAAAATTTGGCCGGGTTTCACGGGACACAGAGAACAAATGGAACACGAGTTACATGTATCATAGGATTCGCTTTGCAACGATTTTGTCACCATTCTCTTTTTTGCAGATTTTTTTTTACTAACTTCAAACTGGGGGATGAGAGCTATGGTTTATTGGAGTAACGATCTATGCGTAAATTGCTTTGTACACAGAGTGTCGATGGGACCGGGGTTATTTGTGCGATACTAACTGCGCGCATATGGTACAGAGAGCCACGTTCCTGTGTTTTAAATAAATTTAGATCCGAGGGCTTGCCTCAATCACCCGCGGCGCGACCCAGATTCGTTTTTCTTCGAAATCCCGTAGCGCAAAAAATTCCATGTCGAAAAATCACTTTGTGCGATATATTTTTTAAACACCGGTTGCTATCCGCCTCCATCACGTTTTGAAAAACTCGGTTTCGGGCATAATTGGTCCCAGAATTCATTTACAAACAATTCCAGAAATATTTGAAATGTTTCGCTCGATTGTATTATTATTGGACTTTGATTCCTTCTGTCTCTCTCGCAGAGTCTCTTAACTATCCCTAACGCAGGTTTATTCAAAAATCGTGGCGGCACCATGATCCTCTTTAATTCCTGAACATCCGGAACGTCGATCAGCGCAAACGTTGCACCTGTCGCGATTCAAGGTTGCACGAGACGCCGTCGACTTCTTCCACTATCACGTATCCCGCCAAGTGAAACCGTAGCGTCTGGTTTCCTCGACAAAGTGACTCCCGCCTAGAGGCCACCGAACGAACGCCCAGACGAACGTAGACGCTGTGGAAGACGGTCGGGTGTTCGCGATTCCCGCGACTATCGCGGTCGGAGATCAAATTCGTCGCGAGGAACACGAAGAAACGAGGGCTGAAGCCGTACTTGCGCCGGAATCTGCTACGGCTGACGAGCAAAAGAGCACCGAAGGCTCCGGGAGGAACGAGCTTTTTTCGTTCGGATCCTCGCAAATTGCTCGCGGGCGTCCTCGCCTCGGAGGATCGGGGATCAAAAAGGAAAGCCTGGCTGCGCCGTGGCGGAGAGGGAAGAGGGAAGAATGAGACGAAGGGAACGGGAGGGAAGACGCGCAGGAACCGGGGGAGTGGAATGCTCGGGGACGAGGATAAAGGAGCGAGGGATGGCTAGACGGGGTCTGCGCGTAGCTGCGAGAAAGAAATGGCAGGAAAAAGAGGTAGCCGATTTTTCCGCGAGATGTGATTTAGATACGCGTCTCTGGAATCTTGGCTTCTGGTTTTCTGGAAAGCCGCGCCGCGTAGACGGTGTTCGAGGACGGGGAGGAAGGTGTCTGCGGAGGGTATCCGCCGATAACATCGAGCTCTTTACCCCTGACCTTTCGAGGGGCACGTCTGCGGGGGCGCATCCGCCAAGGCGAACCGATAATTGTTGGTTTCCTCGTGTCGACGTCCTCTCCGCCGACCAGACGACGGCCGCGTCCCCCCGAAATCCACAGGGGCCACCGTTTTTCACGCGAAAATCTCCTCTTTCGCCCTTCCGTTGCCCTTCCTGGATTTAGTTGGCGAACGATCGGACAATGCTCCGCTTTTCCACGCTTCTCTTTCTACAATATCTCCCTTTGGGTCTCCACTCGCAGCAACCTCCATGTGGTAATACCGAGCTAATAGCTGCGAACTTCTCCATATCGAATGTTTTCTGTGTTTTATTTACTCCATGAAGTGCAAAAGTTATCGATGTATTCAATTTTCCGACAGATCGCACCTAAACAGAGGTGTGGACTCTGGCCGAGATTCATCGAACATTTCTAAATGAAAATGGAAAAAAAAACCACAACGCGCACACACATACACATAAAAACCCCACCGCCCGTTACAAGTTTATTCGAGGGATTCAATTCGATGGAGTGCTTTTAAACAAATTCCGCGACTCGTTTTTCTCCGAGGGTGACCCGTTCCACCCGAATTTTTCACTCGCGCGTGTCTCAGTCGGGGTTCGAATTCGCGTCGAATGACGCTCCACAAAGGGATTGATGAGAAATACCGCGGCAACAGCTTTGGAAAGGCAACAGCGTCATCAAATCGTATTCAAATCTGTCAAGAATCCACGTAGCATAACTTGAAACTTCCTTGACAGTTTCCCAAACAGAAATCGTCAAAGACACTTTTCATTTCAATTAACGTTCCCCCTAACGCGGTATTAATGCAGAGTTTACGTCTGTCCTTTCCTAAATACGCGTTCAATTTAATATCCAGGCTATGGCCACGGCCCCTAGCAAATCACAGTCCTCAAAGCGCAACGTATAACGCGAGCAATTTCGCGGAATTATATTGGGCACCATTTAGGCTCGCGTGAATGGTCATTCGTCGCACGAATTGCACAAAGTTACCATTTCTTATCAACTTTAACACAGCTACTTGTCCAAATTGGTACAGTCGACTGGTTTCTTGACATTCTTTTCATTCTTTTAGAAACTAACCCTAAATCTGACTCCAGTAATAATAGTATCCTTTAAATTAGTACGTGTTTGGACACATTTCCAAATCTGCCCTCAGGGGCTGTAGCTAATATTACATTTGAATGTAGCTACAGTACGGGTTTAGCGATCCCGAGGTACCCGAGCTAGAGGGGACGAACGGGTCCCAACACACATTCTTTGGATTGGAATGTAATGACAATGTAATCTACGGCTTACGAATGATGTATAATTTTGAAAACCGACGGGCGTCGCGTTGCGTAATCTCGAACATCGGATCGATGGAATTTCGCCAAAAGATCGGGAACTTTTTGGCTCGGCGCCTGGCCGAGGACAGCGAACCGTGAAACTTCGCTTGTTCGTCGCTTCGCTCGTCCATTAAGATTGCGCTCCCGTCCGACTGCAGAAAGGGGGAAGCCCTTCGAAAATAGGGAAACTGTTCGCACGTGGGACTCGAACCCCGCGCCGTTCGACACGGGACAGAAGTTTAACGAAGTCCAAATAGGGCAAAATGAGTCGGCGGTTTTGCGAGCGGGAATCTTCGTTAAGGGACCAAAGGGACGATTGTCAGGTCGTCACGGCATTTAACCCCGAAAGCTTCGACGTGGGCTTTTTCATAAACGAATAGGCATCCAAAACGTTCCTTCGATAAAGGAAAATTGTTGGTAGCCCCCATAAGGTAGAATTAAATTCTTATTTCTTTTATGAACAATCTAAAACTATTTGAAAGAGAAGGGTCTACATTATGACAATTTCTGTCATAACAATTGAAACAGTTCTATGGTTTGTGATTTAAATTTCCTTCTTTTCCTATTGTTTAATTAACCAGGAAAATCAGTGTTCCTCCTGCGGCAGTTCCGTTCGAATGGAGCTGCAAAACGAGGGTCGCTTTCGAAACGAACAAAACGCGACGCCAAATCGTTAATCTCGAGGTCTCCGAGTCCTCCGACAGCCATCCTCGATAAGAGAAACGTGACAGGTTCGACGTAACGGCGATTTATCTTTTTTCCCCCCACGCTCGTCCTTCCGTTTAATTTTCCACCGCAGACATCGTTACCTCCGCGAATCCTTTATCGGATGTGCGTCTAATGGCAAACGTCGGCTACCCCCTCCGGAAATCGAGCTCCCCCTGTCCTGGGTCACGACTAACGAACGCACGAAAATCACTTCTAATCGCGCAACGCCACCCCTGACCCTTTCGTCGATTAATCGAACGTACGGCTCGAAGGAGACTTTAATGGAACTCCCCTGTATCTCTTATCGAACAGACCCCAAGTTACATATTTCCAAGGGAAAATTAGATTCGTGAGATATTTAAATCCGTCGAACTCCAAATCAGGGAAAACCTTTGGCATCAGGTCACGTGTCTCGGATTTCTCGTAAAGCTGCACAGCTTACGTTAGTATATTTTATAGTTGACTTTAGTTAACGCCCTTAGTACTAAACAGTGTGCTTTAAAACGTATGATTCACGAAAGCAAAAATTGACAAAATATTCTGACGTTATTCTACACGCAACTGCGCGTAAAAATAACTCGAATCGTTGGAATCTCCACCATTTTAATTCCCTAGCACGCCACTTCCAGTAATTAATTTCGTTTCCTACAAAGAGTATTCTTTAATAGCCACGAATATTGCTGTCTGGACACGCCATATATTTCGAGCAATTAATTGCTTCTGAAGAGGACCCTCGTCGCGATTCAGGGGGCCCCCGTAAACGTTTAAAAACGAAAATTAATAAATGTTCAAAGGCTGCTCGATGCGAGTTACTTTTATTTATCGACGAATATTCTCTTCCCTATTAATCGTTCAAATTTATTTGTTTCGTAAACGATTCGTCAAGGAGCATAAAAATATATCAAAATATAGTAAAATGATTCGAGCGACAGTTTTATCTGGATGTCCGTTTGAAAATATGGAGTTCGATGCGCTGCTCAATTTATTAAATTAGACTTTTCAGTCTTGACCGAATCTGTATTGAGTGCATTTGAAGATTAAAGTACGCTGTGTTGAAAATTGATAGCAATTAACCTCTTCACGTCTTTGAAATTTGTCCCTGAAGAGGTTAAATGAAATGCCAACAGGAGAAATTAAAAGAAAATTTATAGAATAAGTACTGCGTAAAACATGATATACCCTTATATTTCATAATGGAATAGTAGAAATTCATAAAATTCTTACCTGCGCTTTCGGAGGCAGGTATGTCCGGACACGCCTGGTATCTGAAGAGCAATCTGCTGTCATCGGTGCAGGTGTCGACGTTGCTGACGGGTACCGAACAGGTTCCGTGACCTCGGTTGTAGGAGAAGGTCATGGGGCCTCGAAAGGGACACGGCACAGGTGTCGCCTCCTCTCTGAACATCGAATAGAGCAAGGCATCTCCTGTGATGGACGAGCACAGGGATGCGAGTGAGCTTCTACTGTTACAGTAAGCTGAAACAATACCCGAAAGCTGCGTTAGAAGGCGCTTTACACGTCCACAGCTTTTCCAATAATTCTATTTGTAGTAACGACCAATCGTGAAAATCCGTTTCCACGATCGGACGATACGAATTGCTCTATAGGTACGAACACCTTTCATTAAATCTAGATTTTCGGTTCAGTTTCCTCTTGTCTCTCGCCAGAAAAAGTCGTACGCAATTCAAATTAGCATCCTACAAAACTTTTCGTTCTATTAAGACCGGAAAATTCCTGCCCCTCGTTCGACGTGGACTCTTTCGAGAAAAAAAGGAATTAAAAGGAAAGGTTGATTCATCTCCGATAACCAGGCAGTCGCAAGGTTTGGAAGCGGAAACGAGCGCACAGAATCGAAGAAGAGAATGTCGATCGCCATTTGATTCTTTTCCCGGCTGCGGCAACACCTGCACGCGGAAAACTTGCATTCGAGTCCCTCTGCGAGCGTCTCGTCACTTTTCCAACCGGAGAGAACGAAATCGCGAGGAATATCCACGGTTAAAGTTACTCGCGGCTATGAACTTCCTACTCAGGGAAGATTCGTCATCGTCTGCTCGCCCCTGCATTTTCTCCGCCGTTCTTTTCCGTTCTTCGCCGAGGGCCGACTTCCTGTCGAGCTTGCCCCGAACGGGGAAAGAACTTATGGTTGTTCGACGAAAGTTGAGGCGCGTATCTGCGTGGCACCGAAAGAGATCCTTTGGAATTGCGATGCAACTACTCTGCGACTAGTTCTCGAGGTGGATATGTAGAGGACAGTGTCGCTTCGAGTACTTTCTTTTCTACTTTTTATACGAGTGGAAAGTATGTAAAGCCCAATAGTCAAAATATTGCATACAAGAAAATACGACTACGCGAGCTTTCACAGTTGTACTTCCAACACACTTTTCGTAAAGTAAATAGGAATAACAACCCCAATGATTGTTTTCCCGGTAGGAATCCCCTCCCTTCTTAACTTCCTTTGTTTCGCGATAATAAAAATGCCACGCGACTACCCCGCGACTCGAAATTCGGTAAAAGGAATTCCGAGTATTCCTTTGCATTCGTCGCAACCGAGTTTCCCTCTTACGCACGCCGAGCGTCCCAGAAATTATTCAAATAAACGAATATTTATTTACACGAACGCCTCGCCGCGTCGTCAACAGGCGAAAGAAAAAAAGAAACAAAAGAACTGTGGGCGCTCGGAAAGAGGGAATGTAATTTTCAAAGCGTGGAAATGGAAAAAGTGCAATGTCGTGTCTTTCCCCTATTTCCAAGTTTCCCACCGGCTGGCTCTGCTCGCGGCGGCTCATTTATTTATTTATTCTCGCGTGGATGCCCGCTTCGTGTCACCCTTTACCTTCCACGCGGTTCCGTCGACTTTTCAAAATTTCATCGTCATTTATTCGTTATTACGATCGACCTTCCTTTCTGTCTCACCCCCTAGCCGCTATCGGCCGAACGAAATTGCGTCCAAGCACCGTTTCGACATAATTAATTCGCCCTTCCGAAGCCACGTCTCGCTGATTAATTACGCCGCGCTTTATTTTCCTCGGTCACGAATGACAAACGCCACAGAGCGATGCTATCGCCTCGAAAAGGGTCGCGTTAGCGAAACTATAACGAATTCGTCTCTTCCTGAGCGCGTTTTTCGCTCCTGTCGCGGGCCTCGAGAATTAAAGGTTCGCGTTATCCTTTTGGTTAAAACTGTGCTTTCTTTCCGAATTTTTCTGACAGCGTGTCCATGTCAATTTATTTTAATAATATACTGCGCTAAAACGTGCATTCCTTTAATCCGAAGCAATCCTCCAGATAAATATGAAGGTCGAAACAAATGTCTTCGCTCGGAGGAGCTTGCGATCACTTATAAAATTCGTTTAAAACACGTATCCCGCGAGTTTGTAGCGTGAAAACGTTAACACAACTCCCTGGGCAGTTGTCGGATTGCGCGCGGGACGGTTCTTCGCTCGAGGCCGCGGCGGAGAAACGTCGAAATTAGAAAAGCGCAAAAAGTGCAATCTCGTGTTCCGAAACCGACTTATCCGCGCGAAGTCTTCGCCGTCCGCTCGCGCGATAAACACGCTCGCCTGTCGGCCAATTAAATTTAAAGCGGGCTTTCTGTTCCGACGGTAATTCCGCCCCCTTAAACTTTCACGCGAACAGCTACGCCAGTCAACGCTGCCTCGGATCTTTCCTCTGACGCGGACGACTCGGGAGTTACGCTTTATTTCGCGTATAACGAGCAACTGCGTACTGACTTCTTCAAGCACGAAGGACATCTTGTCCGACTGCTCTCGTCTTGAGTTTTGGTAGTCGTACCTTTGACGGTCATTGCAGCGCGTTTCGTTTCTCTTATTTCGAAGGTGGGCTTAAAAGTAGCTTCGTGTAACTCTTTGCACTCCGGGTCGTCTTTTCTGGTGTCTACCAGCAACTCGGGATGCTTGCTTAGCATTCTATTGCCACGAATGCTAAGCTTAGATCGACTTCGAAAATTAGATCTCTTATTTGCGATTTGAGAATCAGGTCACCTTCGTTTCACCGACGGTCGTTTTATTGACACTTCGAGTTCCAAAGAAATGAGAATACATATATTTTCGGGGCGAAACAACGAGTGCATCGCAGTCATCGAGCAAGTCCGCATTTCCATTCATTTGGTCGCCCGGAGCATGACGAGCCTTTTCCCGATCCGCTGTCACCGACCGTCCGTTTCTTCCCCCATTTTCCACAGAAACGACCCACATTTTCCCCGCACGTTGACGGTCCGAATGCAGCCTGCAGGCGACGGTATCTGCGGTGTGACACTATGCAGATTAAAATCCGATAAAAAAAAAGAGGAACGGCGGATAGAGCTGGAGGGAGCGAGAAAGGGGACCCTAGGGACTTTGACAAATCGTCGAAAAATGCGAACGCGAGACAGGAGGGGGCGGCACTGGAGGTCGGTGTCCCTCTTTTTTAGCGTGTATATATCGATATCCACCCTCTTCTTTCCTCCGCGGCTTGGCTCGAGTGCCAAACTCCACCTGCCCGATGTTGTTGTGCTCTCCCTTCGGCTCCGTTAGCCCCTCTACAGGCCGTTTCAGGTTTGCCCGTCCACTTCAGTCCACGGTCGAGCGTGTTCATGGTTTTCATAGCTAACGAGACCATCGCCGAGCAATGGAACCCTCTCAAAGGAATTGTGTGCGCTGAATAGGGTCAACGAGTGTTGACGCGCCCTTAAGGGGACGATGTCTAGCAAATTCGTAGCGAAACATCAATTTTACTCCGCGTTTCCTTACGACTCGAGCCTTGGAAGCAACGCTTCGAGTAAAAATGTTATCTTCTATACACAAAAGTGGTGGACAATACGAAAAGGTCGACATACTCTCTACTACGTGAAGTATAGCTTTGATTTCAAAGTGCTCGATTTGCCCTGAAAATGAATTGTATGGCCCTAAAATCGGTCCACAGATCAAGCCCACATCCCATTGAAATATTACACGATTTCGACAAGCTTAAAAATACAAATCCAAAGCAACGCGGGTTTCAACAATACCGCCAGGCATTAATCGTCATGAGAAACGCACCGCGATAAATTCCGCGATCCCAGTCGCGTTTGAAAGAGCTTCTACGCGGACGTGCACGCGCTTTTCACCCGCGCCAAACCAATTTTTTATACGAATCCATATTTACCACCCCCCTTCGACCCCCGACTCGTTTCCTGCCGCGCGCGGGAACGCATCACTTACGAACACAGTCGGAAGATCAAAGTGTCGTTAGCAGTGTTCGAAAAAAAAAGAGGCTCGCATCGTCTATGAGCTACGCCGGAGCGAATAGAATTATCGCAAAACCTCGTTGCGCGATCCTGCCGGAGTAAAAGCGTTCCTCGCGAAAGAAGATGTTTCAAAGCGAACGAGATGCTTTCATAGATTCAAGAGTTTTCGCGAAAACACTCCGTATACATGGACGGGAAAGCGGGAACGTTTCGCACAGCTCTATATGAAAACAATACGGGGCAAATTATTTCCTTTTCGCTCCGAATTGCAGAAATTTCCTTGGAGATACGCAAATAAAAGATTACCTTCGTGCCTAAGATAGAAAAAGGTGCTGCATGAAAGCCGCGATTCTGTTTTGGAGCGACTATCCTGTCCCGCAAAAAGTCGTCCGAAATCAACGTTTTCAAGCGGGAACGGACTCTTAAAGAACGATCGTCCGATCGGTCGTGAACATGGCGCGGGTCACAAGCGCGGAACGTGCTAATGCAAAACAAAGTGCTCGAAACGGTGCAGATAATGCGAGGTTGTACGGACCCGAAGCCCGAGGTACTCCGTAGCAACGGAACCGAAGCCGCGCAATAATCTGCAACGATCTACACGACGATCCTCGATAAATATCCGGGAACGAGAACCATTATCACGTTCCAGAAACTTCGCTATCCATTCTGTTGTCGGTGTATTAACGAGGCACGAGGCTGATTGCACGACAGAATCCGCCAAAGTGCTCTCGATTTCTTTTCCACTGTAAACGAGGCTAGCAGCCCCCGTTCAGAATTAGTAGGAATACCCCCTCCCCCCCCTCTCCCCTTACCATCGTCCTTCTTTACCTCGTCCCCCGTCGTTCCCCCGTTTGCACGACGAACGAAAGTCGTTAAGTTCTTCTTCGAGAATTATTCCGTTGGAGCTACGGGTTCCATCGTCCTCGCCCTCGCTTCTCGTCATCTTCGAGCTTTTAATTACCGATCGGCATTCTAATTAATGAATGGATTTCCCCGGGCCACCGGGAAAATCGTTATCGATGCGACGAAACAACGGCTATTAGGAGGTCGACGACGAGCAACGACGGGAGAATGACGCGAAAATGGACGAAAGGGGGAGGACCGAGGATGAAACGGCGTCTTCCAATGTTCTTTCGGAATTGTACTTACTTTCTTTGTACTGAAGAACGTTTGAGTGCTTCTCGTGAATGACGACGCAACGGTAGCAGGATTTTCTGGAACAGAACGGAAAACGAGGGTCTCTCTTATTCAGGCCTTTCATTCGATATCGCTCGACGGAATTAGAACGCTTTCCCCTGTTACCGACGTCTTTTTCCTCGTTCGTTGTCTTGTGCCGGGATTGACCCGCGCGGCTACCCTGACCCCGAGAAAACAGGCCAATTTCGCGGAATTCTTGTGGTGGTAGCTGGGTAGTCAACACATCGTCGACCGACAATTTTACGCAGAAGCGAATTCACGTCACGGGCTATTATTTCGTAATTTTTGTACTACTGAACCACTGACTGATACAAATCTAAATACTGCGAAAAGTATATTTTATTATCAAAAAAGAATCAAAAATCGACAAGACCCTGGATTTCATAAATTGAAATAGGTAACGCAAGTGCGAACACGAATTTCCTCGTGACCGGTCGATAATGTATAGTACTCTAACGAGTACTATTTTGCTATCCGAATATCAGCCAGGGGTCGAGAACCTCTAGAAGATCTCTACTTTTTCCATGTCAATGAACGAACTGTTCTGGTAACTAAATATCATCCTTACATTTAGAGAACCTATAAAGAAAGTAAATATACCGACTCTTCGATGAATAGTCTAGCAATATCCAAGAAATAAAGTTCGACGGAGCCGACGGGAAACGCGGTTTACCGCTATAGACACGGTTCGTCTTCTAAATCAAGTAGTATGAGACCGTGATGCTCAGACAGCGTTCCCCCAAAGCTCCATCGAATCACGGTCTCCGCGACGGGTAGATCCGATTCGGCTCGATATTCAAATCTAAAAGAGAATATTCGGTGGTGGTGGTCGCTCGAACGCTATCCCCTCGGTCGTGTCGCGCGGCACCTTACCCCCTGGCGCAACTTCCGCCTTCTTTTTCTATCTCGCCCCCGGCGGGCGTATCGATCGGACACTTTGCAGGCGAGCTCGATAGAAATCTCCACGAAAACTTCGACCGACTCGTGTGACACGAGCATTACGCGGCGAAACGACGTTCTTCCTTTTCCCTCTTGCGTGTGGAAGGCACCGCTGCGAACCCAGCCACCCCACCTCGCGACAAACCCCGCTTTTAATCCCCTTCTAGCCTCCGGGCCAAACTTACTCCAGGACGTATCGCCCCGAATCTCGACGTCGTCTCTTTTCGACGTTTTCGCCGTGGTTCCCCTCTTTGGTCTCAATTTCTTATTCCGATATTTTCCGCGGCGCGACGTCTCGAGCCGTTTGGAACCATTAGAGGGTCCCCGAAGGTCGATCGTCGCGAAATCGCTGAACTACCATTGTTTAAGCTCTTCAATGGCGAATTAATCGGTGCTGAGAGAAGCGTGTTTGTTTCTTAATAATTATACCTCCGGATACAGGTAGAAATTAAGTACATGCGTAAGTACACAATGGTTGTTCAGCTAGTTTACGATCACAATGGCTTTTTTCTTTCCTTATTCGAAGTCGCGAAGGTGAACAAACGTCTACTCACTGGTTCACTAGAAGGAACTTGTCGCCCTCGTTGTGCAGACACCTGCCCTTGCCGGACAGCTCGTTCTTGGAGATGACGATAGGGTGCGTGACTCCGCTTTGAAACCAGGTACCCTCCCATTTCGGTGGAAACGTGCATTCTGAAACAATCGAGGTACCTAGTTAGTCGAAATCGCCTATATTTATTAATTATTATTAATATGTCACACCGAATATATTCCTTGTTGCGCCTTTCGATCACTGTTTGGAGAGGGTCACGACAAGTTGTCATGCTTGGAAGAGAGCGAGGAGAAGATGTAACATTCTCGAAGGAAGTAATTCGGGACAAATCGTGCCGGGGCACGAAGACAAAGGGGTTCGGATCCGTGGCGAAGGCAAGGGAACGCGGGCTAAGGGTTGAAAGGGAGGCTGGAAGGGCGCATAACCATGGCGTCGAGATGGGAATTCCCAGGACGGGATAATCCCGGGGGCGAAGCGAATTTCCGGAAACTACTGCTACAGCACGGAAGGGATACATCCACCCGAGTTATCGACGATAATCGAAACTCAGGAACGTCCCTCGTGTCTCGTTCCTTTTTCTCTGTGGAAGTACGTCTGCGAATACCTGACTGTGCATTTCGACCAGCTGGGATTCATTCTCGCGGTTTAGTTTCCTAAATCCAGTTGCAAATCACCATCGGAGGGCTCTCGTATTAAAACATACTGTAACCGTTAATGGAACAGTGGTAAATCTTCGATAGACATCCTTGGGTCTGCTTGGTTAGTTTCTTCCAAGCAACGTCGTTAACCGACGACCGTTGCACGAGTAAGTAAAACAGCCTCGACCTAGTACCTCGACTACAGTATCCCGTGAAGAATAATATCGCAAAAGATGGTTCCCGATCGAGTCTTATCGAGACGTTGTCCGCACGACCAGATGCGTTCTCTGTTCGTTCCGATTGTAGCATCCCCTTTGTTTCCTACTGTTCTATTCCGTTGCGTTGCCCTATTGATACCCTGCCTCACTATGATACGTCCTGCATAATAGCTAATTGTGTCGCGTCTCACTGTTTCAATTCTATTCTTCGAAAAGACAAAGAATCGGACGATGCGATTGCTCGACCCGTAGATACTCGAACCTGGACTTTCCGATCGTGGATGTTCCTAGTAAAACTCGGTGACGTAGAACGCTCGGTAGGTACGTCAAACCGTTCTGCTGGTAATATAGAGGACTCCGTTGATACGTACACTGGCGTATTACCTGCGTATTACCTCGCCGTCTTACCTGCTGAGCGTACTACATCGCCGACCAGGTACCACTAGATCTCGGTGCTGTAGGAGGTACATTTCTCCTGTTGACGACTCTAACGAGGGAGATATAGCCACTGTCTCCTTAGTTTCCTGATCAAATTTTCTCGAAATGTCTGTCAACGCCATTTGAGATGCACGCTCCTACAAAATTGATCCTCGACAAGGCAATGCAGCGTGTCACCTGGCAGTGGCAATTCGAGTACTGCTTCATCAGAAAAATCGTTGAACGGCATCGCGTGTCGAATCGAATAGCCACGAAACGTAGACCAAACTCGAGACTCGAAAACTAACGAATACATCAATCAGAGAAACAATGTTTCGCTAGTTAGGAGAGGTGGATCGAATCATTCAAATATAGCGTAGCCCAAATTCGAATCTAGGTTAAATTTTTCAACGAAGAACTAAATTTGTATCTTTTATCTCTGCCTTCAGCTGTCAACGATACCTTCGGAACAAGAAGACATCGAGGAAATAAATGAAGTGGTCAAAGGAGATATCCCGCCCGTAATCAGTGGTTAATTAGATTTCACTCCAGCAGTCGACGAGGAAAGAGAATGAAAAATATTGTTCCACGGGGATCACGGTCTCCCGCGGGACCAAAGCTGACGAACGGCAGCCAGACGTTTTCCAGTCGTGTCTTTAAGTAAAAGCTTCGTAAATAAAGACTGTTGTTGTCGTTCGTCGGCGCATCGTCGAGCTGTTGATTCATCTAATTGTGGCAATCGTTTTCGCATCACCGCAAGAACAAGGACAGAAGAGAAAATAATCGAGTTGGATTCGTCTTTGACGGTTCGCCTCGTCTCCGACACTTTTCCCTAGATTCGTCCCCGTTTTTTCCTTTCGGTAGACGTTTCGCGAAGCGTCGTCTCGGTCGATAGAACAGATGTCTCTCCTTTTAAGGCGGAATAAAAAAATTTATCCTCCCACGGGAGGAGGCACTTTCGCCAGAGGAGCTCCTGGAATAATAAAACGCGACGAAAACGTTTTAAGCGTTCCCGGCATTGCTTATCGCCGAGGGGATGCTGATATTGACGCGTGTCATTTTACAAAGTTTTTGTAGCGTCGCCGAGTGAGCGGTTCTTTACATTCCGGTTGCGCCATGAAATCTTTTACATCGAGCGTTGCTGGAGAAAGAGTTTCAAATAAATCGATAACACTTTTCATACGTTATTTAAAGTTGTAGTTGCTATAAATACGGATTTCGAGACACTAGGATGCAGTAGTTACTCGGTCGGCGAGGTGGAGTATTCCGTTGGCAACGCAGCGTGCTCTGCAGACAATCCCCGATAATGTAGAACGCACAGTCGGTACGGCAAATCGCTTTACCGATAATACAGAACACTCCGAAGATAAATTCCGCGACTAACTTGGTATTCCGGCAAGTAAACCAGTAACGAAAGCCATTATAAAGAGACCGGGAGCACACGACGCTATTTCAGCGGAATCATCCCTTCCCCGAGACGAAATTAAACTCCCGGGAGAAAAACGACTATTTCCATTCAGACACACGCAACGCGGGCGATATTTACGCGCAATTCCGAGGCCTTATCGTTAACAGCATCAGGGACGCCGGCAGGGAACGGCAACTCCGAGAAGATTCGATTTCGCGAGAGGGGCGACGGTGGCCAGCGCGAAACACTCGGCCGTTTTTTTCTCTCTTCCGTTCCATTTCAGCGGTCTCGCGACGCCCCCTCGGGTCCCGTGAGGTGGGTGTGAGATTCTCCATCGCGACCCAGCGACTGGTGCGAACTGTGATTACGGATTTCGAGTCTCGCCCGCGGATTTTACGAGCCCGCCGCGAATCGCGCGAATCATCCCCATCCAAACACCCGTCCTTTTGTAACGCCAGCCCCTCCAAACTACAAGAATCAGGACAGGACACGACGCGACAACCGCGTGGAAATAAATAAATGATGCAGAAATCGATGGTTGTTCTTCAGCATTGTCTCGAGACAAACTTAGATTGGATGTCAACGAAGGTCAAAATCAGTAAAAACAAAATTGTATCCACGACTCACCCCTTGGTCGCTCGGCTTTCAACCTCTCTACCCCCTACGCTTCAGCCCTTCTGGATCCCACAACGCGTCGAAAAGCGGGGGAGGCAACGCGTGGCACACGAACCGCATGGAAATAAATAAATGCCTCGAGGGTAAAGGGTGGACCGGCGACGGTGAGACGAGGGCGGAGGGTAGACGCGCGGATGGTGGATTCGCTCCAGGAACCCGCCACCTGCTATCGATTCCAGCCTCGAAACACAGAGCCACGCCGATCTGACGAATGACTTCGTTTCTGCCGATTTTCTTGCCGCTCCAGGGACAGCTCGCTTGTTCCCCGTGAAATACGCGATTTCGCGTTGGTCCCGCGCCCTTGTTTCCAGCAAGGATCTCGATTCCTTCGAACTTCGAATCCCAATCCTCCGAAGGGGATTACGGTGCATCGACGCGTCGAGGATCGTGGTAACGGTATTTCTTAGAGGGCACGTTCGATGATATTTTTCAGATCGTTAAGGGTAGGTTTTTAAAATTAGTCACTGTTTATAAGGTGTTGGACGCTCGAGAGCCCTGAACAGTGGACGTGTTATAGATTTAAATATTGCAATAGATTGGAAATTGTTTCGATAGGAATAATCTAGTCATATATTTGCTCTGAACAAAGGAGACACCAATGCAACCAATTAACTGTTTCAGGAAAGTAGGTCTCTCTTAAAAAAAAAAAAAAGGAAGAATTGAAAAGAGGAAAATGAATGCGTAGAAGTAGAAATGAAAGCTATACGTTGGTATTAACCTATCCGCGGTAGTACGGGAATTCAGCGGAACAGAGGCTGGAATACAAAAGAGGTTCGAACAAATAACGCCGATAACGATAAGCTCGATAAACTCGCAGCCGAATAAATTGAAAAGCTACAGTCAGGAGTTTGCCGCGGCAACCACCGTGGCTGATTGAAGATTCTGTTATCAGCGAGCGCGGAAATAGGCAGCCCGGAAACCGGGAGAGCGGGGAAATAAGCAGGGGAAAACAACCGCAGGGTTTCGTATATCATCGCCGGCGCGGGCTTAATATCAATAAATTCAGCCGTATCTTTTAACGACACTTTATCAGCGATTCGCGCGTGCCTCTGAACGAGCCACGTTAATGAAAGAAGTTTCACGTAAACAATACGATTCGTACATCCAATACCAGTGATCGCTGCTTTTCCAATGAGAATTAATTTCAATAAGAAGAGGAATGGTCTGTTCACGTAACAGAACGCTCGAGTTTTAGATAATGGAGATCTCCTGTACTTATGGAGTGAAGAGATACCTCGATAAGGGCATTACAGTACGGATGAAGTGACTGTTTCGCTGGGGCGCAGGAAAAAGAATAGGGTGTCGATTCGCGAAAATCCAACGACGTTATTTTTCGTTAACAGAACGACTCTTCTGGCCGGGGATTTGAGAAGCGCGAAATTACGCTGAGTTTATTCTCACGAACGAGTCATTATTTTTCTGCGACCTCCTTACCAGCGTATCCTGCTTCCTGCGCTCCATTCACCTACCGAATAACGACCCCCTGGTGGCTGTACGTCTTCCCGGAAATGGGCCGCCTTCTCCGGTTGGACAGTGATAATAAGAATAGTAGCGACGCGAATGATAACAACGATAACTCGAAAAAGTGGCGAGAAATAAATTTGAACCAAAATTAACCTCGAACAAGCTGTCATTTAGTTTGAAAACGATCGAGACCTCGGTAACTAGACCTCATCGTGATTCGAAGGTGACTGTAGCGTCAAGCGTGAGAAGTGCAGGAGCTATTATTATGCAAATCCCATAATATTCGTTGAGCAACTTGTCGGGGTCTTCCACTGTTGCAT